CCTCTAAATATTTCTCAGAAATCAACAATATAAAGCTAACAAATGACTTTCAACATAAACAATTTCTCCCACAAATCCAAAATCATCAAGTAGCTAAAGAAGTGTACGAAAAGAAGCTTCTCAAAGTAATGAAAGAAGTTACAAAACACATGCCAAATCATCTTTCGTATTTCCACTAAAGCCATCACAATGAAACTATCTATGTTTTTAAGGATAAGAATAAAGGCCATACCTCTCCAAAACCAAGCAACAAGCAAACACTTTATCACATTTCATCTCAAATCATAATTAGTAAAAGAAATAATATAGAAAGAGATAGGCCAGTAGAAGGAGAAGAGATAGGGGTAGGGAGGATAAGAAAGTTCTATCTTTCCAAAAACCACCCAACAAATCCAATAAGTTCAACTTTCCAACATGCTCCTCTCTCCAAAAATTCACAAATACTTCAAATGACTATTTGTTCTTCTTTATGCAAAGAGATGATACATCACTATTGTTTCTTCTTTATCAAAAGAGATGATACATCATTCTTCTTCCCAACAAAAGCCACAATCATAGAATATCACAATATCGTTATTCTCCCAAATATTCATGAAAACCTCCAACCACAAGACAACTTATGAAATATTCCCACATAAAGCAAATCACATGATTTTCCAACATAAAATAAGTCGTAAAAGCTTTCCAAAACAACTCATAAAGAGATAAGAAATCCAAACCCTTATCCATTTAACGTGTATAAATTTACACCACTAGGTATAAAGCACACATATGAACTTGATGCAAGTGCAAAGAAAGAAATATTAGACTTCCAAATTGACTCCACCTTGCAATTGTAAGCTTCCAACTTACTTATTTATTCCAAATCAATACTTGTGCCAAATGAAATTTGAGAGAAGGAAAATTATAGCAACTTTATTTCCTTCCAACAACTCAAAAGGTTCTCCAATCATGAACCATGATTCATGCAACCAACAATTTCTTATATGTATCATACAATTCCAAGCCCTCTCTCTTGAATCATGAATGCACAAAACCCATTGCACACCTTTATAGAACAAGAAAACAAGAATATGGGTAGAGGCAAATAGGAAATAAAATTCAGCATTTTTGCAACCCATGGATGAAATATTTCAGCCTTTTATAACACTATACAGGTAAATTCCAGCACTACGTAGCATATCACAAGAAAATTTCAGCACTTAACATTGTGAAAAGCAACATTGAAAACCCTCGTTCTTGCTCTTAAAGAATGTTCTCAGATTTTGTACTCAAATATCTATAAAGAAACAGTACTTGCTGACAAGTATTATCAAACAACAAGATTTGCAAGGAAAGAGCAAGCATTAGTGAATTTACTTGGTCTTACCTCAAATAAACGAGCACAAAGAACATTGCCATCATCACAATACAATATTGATTCAAGACATAAAACATGTGGTTGCTTTCCGATAAATTTCCAACTTCCACAATATAGGCTCAAAGAAGGAAAAGTCTCTACGGATCACATAAGCCGAGCATCAAGCCGACCAATTATACTCCAATGCGAACTCAAATCACAAATCATCAATAAGAGGTATACTTGCCAACAATGATTTATCAAGATGAAGAGAGAACTTTCATAATGTTCAGTATGTGTGTTTGTTACAATGCTTTGTATTCCACATCGTATTTAGTCTATGATCATGAGCAATAAGTCATAGAGATTTCACTAATCACGAAACAAGTGTTATTTGACATTCTTATATGTGAGATGAAGTTAATAGAAATATTCAACTTCTAGCATAAGTTCTCATACTAGCCACATGCTCTTATGCAAAAGGAAAGAAAGATTACCCATTGAAGTGATTATTAGAGAACATATCACTTGTATGACAAAGACTATAACAAGAGACCAAGCCAACAATTATTCATTCTCAACATAAGCATTCAAAATAAGACATTCAACTCTATCAAACTCTTTCAAGAGAACACATATATGATTCGTTGGGTGGAACATCAACATTCATCTCCATTCTATGCCAAAGTTCATTGCATAAATGTATTTATTTACTAAAGATTTAATTATCGATTGATGACTTTCATCTAATATGTTTCTAACATGCATGCATCTCCTCAAGACATGGCTTGCTCAATGCAACATGACTACAAAGAAAATTGAAGACTCATGGTAACCGAACATGTCATACACAATCCCTTTATTTTATTATTCATCCAACTTGCGACCTGATATCCATTTTTCAATTGTCAATGCATCGATTCATCACATAAAGTCTCAACTCTCAACATGCTCAAATAATTGTAAATTTCTCCAAAAGGCATTTCATCAAACAACTTGAATACAACATTTATAAAACTAAATGAAGTGAATTGAGATGGACATCCTATTTCGCAATCACACATAAATCACAGAAAACACTATATTGAAGTTATTACAAAACAGTTAGCTTGAAATTAATAGTTATTCATTGTAAAAGCATAAAGAGAACCCCTCTTTTTTTTTTAAATCTCATAAATCAACCTAAAGAACGAACCATAAATACCAAAAGAAAATGTACAATTCTTTTGAGAAATGCTTACTAGAAAGAAGGGAGACATTGAATTTACTGTACTTTCAGTTCAAGAGAAAGGAAAGGTTATGATTCTGACTATTGGTCTCTTCTAGACTTCATGAAGGTGAGAAACAAGTAACGATTTAATGATTTTGCTATATCCCAAGGAAGAAAAGACTGATCTCTCAACTATCATTAAAATTTGGTAGGCAGAAGAAATCAAACAGCAAAAGTATTGCATTCATATTCATTTACCAAAGAGTAAATGCCATAAAATTTATCATTCTTAATATTAGGTAGAACAAAATGTAGCTTACAGATTTCTTAATCTCAAAGGAAAGCAGGTTTGTAATGAAGATCTTATCTTCAAGGGAAGAAAAGGGAAATAGGAGGGGTAGAGGAAGAAGGAGAGAAAAAAATGTAGAAGAAGAAGAAAAAGGAGTAGGAGCAAGAAAAGAAGGCAAGGAGTATACCTGCATGAGAAGGCCGGCTGCCAGGGTAGGGATTTCGGCCCTCTTGCTCGCACGACAGCGAAGGAAACGGGTTTTAGAGCCATTGGATGCAGTTGCCTAGGGCTCTTGGTCGGGGCTTGCGAATATAAAGGGAGACGAGGGCATCGGGATCGATCTAGGCGCGAAATTGAGGGCGGAGGAGGCGTCAAGTCCGGCTCCAAACAAGAGAGGCGGACAGGGCTTTGGGTCCGGCTCTAAACGGGAGAGACGGACGGGGCTTCGGCTCCTTTTGGGATCTGAATGGGAGAGACGAAGAGGGAAAGAAGGGAACTTCGATTCCCTTGGAACCTTGCGGGATAGAGAGCAACCAAGGAAGAGAGACCCCCGCGTCGGGGAGGGTGCGAATAGGGAAAATCAGGAAGAATGGGGAAAGATTTCATTTCCTTCCTGTCTTGTGCCAACACCCCGAGAGATGGAGAGAGGACATGAGGCGAGAGGGCGCCAATGCCTGGTCTAGGGCGGGCCAAACCAAGGAAAACGAAGGAATTGGGAAAACCGCCCTCTGGCGCTCGATGGACATCTTCCTACCTCTAAGCGTGGAAACGGACGCTGATCTTTCTTCCTCTACCGAAATCACACTGAATACCTACCTAAACAAGACAACACACGACCGAGGCGCCTGACAACGGCAGATTTCGGTCCTCAATACAATCGGGGCTGTTGGATCAAATTTCTTATTTAAGAAAGTAATTCAAATGCTAGGGAAATTCAAATGGATTTCATTAAGATTAGATCAGGCTGATTTGGGCTAGACTTGAGTTCAAATCAGACTTGATTTCACTAGAATTGGGCCAAATTGAACTCGTCGTGGTTAAAACAAACTACTCGGGCTCGACTCGACCAAATTAATTCAAAAAAGAAATCAAACTCGCATCGACGATGATTCAGATTAAATCGAGCCCGATGAGGCCCGATCAATTCAATCAAATGAGCTCGAGGAAAAAAAAAAGATAAAAACGAGGTCAACACCCAGTACAGATGATATTTGAATTTGATTCTTTGAAAGCTCTGTTTTTTTAAAGTTCTTTTGTTATTGACGAAAAAAAGTTGTTCCAATGGCCAATTTGTTTTTTAAGTGTTTGGAAGTGATTGCAAGAGCTATAAAGGTGAGTTTCTCTGTGCAGAAAAACGTCACTTATGAATTCAGTTCTTTTGATTGTTTAAGCTGTAGTGAGTTTCTTTTTTACCTGGCCTCACACTAACTTTTATTTATTTATTATTCTTTAAAATAAAAGTAATATTTCTTATACCAATTTATCTAATTTATATTATTATATTGGTAACAAAGAAAAATTGATGGTCACTCCCAAGCCCCTCAGAAATAAAACTTATTTCTTACCTTGATAAAGGCGAGCTTCTAAAAAAGAAATTCACCTTCATTTATATTTAACCAAAAATATGTTTGTACTTAGTTCTAGAAATGAATTCCAATTATTTTCAGCCACTTATTTCTAGTCAAACTAGCGAAACTTAGTTTTTTGTGATAAAACTCATTGCGTATCAACTTGGTTTAAAAAAGATCAACGAATGTATACCACGAAGTGGCAATCATTTATTGCCTTGCACTGAAACTGTTGTGTAAATAACACATTACCTATTTTGCTCTTTGGTGTAAATTGGAAGCTTATTATTGTTTTAGCGTAGTAATCAATAAATTAATGTTAGACGGGATGACCATGATAACTGTATGCCATAGTTGGATTGTAGATTTGTTTTATTACGAGTAAATGACAGTGACGATGCAATCAGTAAGTTATTCATTTTCTTTTTATAACTTTTAGCTGCACTAAAGAAAGCATGATTTCTGAGGTTTTGTTTGGTTTTATGCTTAAACAGATGTTTGTTTATCCATAAATGTTGTCCCAAGCACGTTTTGTTATTATGTTACATAAATATTAAATTAGTTGACCTCTTTTCTTTCCTTTTTCTTTTTTAGACGATGGAAGCAATTCTTAACATGCTTACAGAAGATGGAATTGCTCATGATTTATTTATTGTCATGCAAGCAATTAGGTAATTTCTAATTATTTTCTTAGATATCATGGAAAACACAAATTTGTGCTCTTCTGAATTTATGATCTCCTCTATGCTCACCTTTTTTGTACTTTTATGGTAAATCATCTTGCTTTTTTTAAACTTCTTTATCTAAGGTAAACTTAAAAAAAGTCCACCAACTATTGATATATCGCTAATTTAGTCGTAGAGAATCACGTTGCTCCAATGTTGTCTAACGACTATCCAAAATGGTCATCCCAATTTAATCCCAAAGTGGGGCAACATGATACTTTGAGACTAAAGTGTCCACACACGAATAGTTTGGGATTATTTTGAGAATTTTTCTTCTAATGCATTTCTCAAATATGCTGTACTCTTTGTTATTGTTGATTTGTAATAGATTTTGTTGCATCGACACATATTTTCAATGCTTTGCTTAGGAAGTGTCAATTTACGAATTGATTGATTACATTTGTAAAAATTAAGAAGTAGATGCTAGCTTTGTTGTTATACATTGGCCAAGACAATAGAACTATGTTAATTGACGCCTTATCAAATTAGGAGAACACTTAGCCCATAGTTTAATAGAGTTATCTGGAAATAGTCTGAAATTCATCAATACCATAATCATAACTTAATCATAACTTGTCAACCCAAAACTTGCTGTGTGGAACTTCACTTATTAATATACTTTTTGATTATTATGCTTTATTTTACTATTCCTAGAATTACTGAAGCAGTCCACTGATATGATAATAAACATGGATGAAATGACTAGATCATTGAGAAATAAAATTGAAAGTGGTGTAGCCCTCATATATAAAAAGATAAAAGCTCCAAAATTGCCCCCCAATATTAGTAAATGGCCAATTTAGCGCCCATGAGTATCAGTGTTTCGATTTGGCCTATGGACTATTAAAAAAATGATCTAAAATGATCCTTATGTTAAATTCACTATTTAGTTTGATAGAAAGTTAGAGTGAATTTTGTTACCATATTATAAGAGGAGGGTATTTTACAACAACAACAATAACAATAAGCCTTATTCCCATTATGTGGGGTATGTTATATGAATCATTTTTCTCCATTATATCTTATTAAGAGTTAATGTCATACCCCACGACGACCTGACTTTAAATAATCGATGCAGAACACAACAAAGAGGGGGGCGCCAATCACTTTACTATATTACATTTCAATATAATTCATTTGATCTAAATACATAATAATTTTGAAAGAGATCATAACTTAAAACATCAATCATTAGCGGAAGCTATCAAGATTTTATTTCCAAATTTTTTATTTGCAGAGCAATTGCAGGAAACCAAGATATGTAACTATTGACAAACTACTAACCTTAAAATAGATATTTATTACATAAAAAATAATAAAAAAGAATTTGACACTATTATGGTTCAACTTTTTCATCCCCATCCCTGCAACAACCAAAATAACAAACTGATGAGCTACGATGCCCATAAGATATGCAACTCTAATAAAGCAGTCAAGTATAAAAACAACAATACTTACATGTGTATAAAAAAGTGAATGTAAGAAAAGTAAAAAAAATTAAACAAAATTATATAATCGTTTAGTAAGAATTTTGCATAGTAGGTTATAATGTATAGATGAAAAGATGGCTACACATAATAGTTATGCATAGTGTTTTATTAATATCATTACATTAAGTTAGTTACATTAAATATAAAAATGATACATTTTCTGGAAATCCTACATTGTCCGTTTGTTCTCCAATATGTACATCATATATTACTATAGGTAATTATAAATAGATTTTAGTTCATTTCATAATTCTCTTTTTCATCCTTAGAAGGTATCATGTCCAGATGGCTCTTGATGTCGCACTGCCTTTTTTGTCTTTAGGCTTCATATCATATCGATGTTGCATTACCTGTACTATATTGCACTGCCCCTACCTTCTATCACCTAACATGATATTTTGATATTTTCTGAGGCTTATTTGATCATTGTATTTTTATTTTCGGGTTGTGTGACACTTGACTATATAAATAAATATGCACATGTATGTAGATTAATATGAATGGGAAGCATATCAGCATAGAAATAATTATGATTTTATGAATCATATGCTACAAATCATTGTATGACATAATTGTACATAGCAACATCATATAACAAAATCACCTATTACAAGAAGTTACATGTAGGATTATTGCATGGAACATGCAAGAGTACGAAGCTATGTCACCCACAACTAATTTAAATGCATGTATACAGACAAAACTTAATCAACTTGTATATTGTACTAAAAAGAGCTTATGCATATCTTACCTCCTTGACATGCTGACCCACTCAGTCAAACATGTTGTGTTTGCCTACGCATGTATGGCATGTAATCCAATTCAAATAATTAATTAGTAATTCACACAATTTTTCATTCGACTGGTACAATTAAATCTATTATCAACGAACACAGCTTCCAATTTTCCCTTTGCATATAGCGTTAGTTTTTTCTTTAAACTTTATTTTTTTCTTTAAAATTTACTCCACATTACGAATATCTTGAATACAAATCAACTAATGTTAAATGAAAAGTTTACTGAAATGAAGTACACAATATAAATTACTTACTATTTTCACTTTTCAAACCAGCCAATCAACAAACAACACAGCCTCTCCCCTATCCTCTTCTTTCTCTTCATCTTCTCACTCTAATATCTCCCTTATCTAACTGTGGCATGCCCCAAACACTCGACCAGCCAGCTCCTGCACTCTCCTAACTCACCCGACCAACACCCATACACTTATCTCTTGTAAATAGCTTCGGAGTCCGATCCTAGCTCCTACCCAAGCTCTGCTTCCAAGCTATTTCTCCCTCGCTCCAGCCAGTGAAAGAGAATTAGGCTTTGGTTGGCAAGGAATGGATTAAAGTACTAAACAAGTGCTATTTACCTAATCGTCCAAACCATTATCCAATGCATGCCCTGCTACATGCCTTTACGAAGAAGTAAATGGACCTTGCTACAGTAATTTGTATGATTAAATAGTAAATGCATTTTATTAACTTAGAAAAAAATGCAGATGAGATTTAATTTCTTAACTTCCATTCCTCCGCAATCCAATATACAGTTCTATATTTCAAATTGCTCCATTCAATGAGTAGAACACAATGATATTATGTTTTTTTATTTTCGCGAAAGTTGGTATTTTAGGTTTTTTTAATTTGATCCAAATGTGGCATATACCTGATCTAATTCAGGTTTTACAGCTAAATTCTCATTTAAATCTATTTAAAAAGGGATCATTTTTAATACTTTCGAACCAAGTCCTTTTAGGTCTACCTTTACCCCTTAAAATAGGCTTAGATCTAATACATTTGCTTTCCTAATAAGAGGAGGGTATTTTAGTAAAAGTTAAAATTTATAATTATTGTTATTTTTTAAATCCTATTGAAACTTGAAACCTATTTCTCCTCCAATTTGCCTTGAAATTTGAATAAATTAATATTATTTGTGGTTTAATTTAATTAAATAGAATTAATTTTATTTAATGATTGATTTTGTAGTGTATAAATATAAGAAATAATGAATTCATAATATGCATAGATTAATATAAAAAGTGTAGAATGTTTTATAATAATTTTGTTTGTTCTACTCAAATATATTAAATCACATGTGTTATTTTATGTAATCATAAAAGTGACAATACATAATCAATATAAAAAACGTAACTTTGCACACAATTGAACCACCTAAAATATGGTTAAATTTAAATTTTGATGTTAACTTTATTTGTGAATTTTTTCTCCTTTGGGGCCATTTATGATCAATTTTAAATAGCCGAGTGATTTAATAGGAGCGCTGTGATATTTTGAGACTAAATTAGTTATTTACTGATAGTCAAAGGACAATTTTAGATTTTTTCTCTTTATTAAAATGATTTAGTAAATTACTATTGATGCTGAACAAGTTTAAGAACCTTAAAATCCTAAACCCCTCGGTGTTGAAGAAAATGATTTAAATAGCTGGAGGGTTATGCTTTGGTTCTCCTTCGGTTAGTCACCATTCTAGACTTGGTTGCGCAATTAGGCTCCAGAAGATGACCCAACTCCAGTCGAGTCATTACATTCTCAATGTAAAAACCCCATTTGTTTCATTATATTAATTCTATGACCTTATGAACCATTTAACATTGTAATTGCTTTGTCAGTTTTCTGTTCTCTAACTTAAGTCTTATTAATACATTGATAAAAATAAAAATATCTATTTTCAATTAGATATATGAGGTAAATTTTCCCGGACAAAATGATGTTCAACTAGACTTTATAAATAATTGTCAAACATATCAGAAAGGTAAATAACAATAATATCAGTCCACTTTCCATTTGTTACAATTAGCTTTTAGAAGGTTAAAATTATTAAAATTATCCCAAGTATTATAAAGAACTAATAAAACCTTTTTTCTTGGGTATACTTTTGTAGCGGCGTTCTTTGATTTTTTTTTGGAAATTGTTCCTTTATCTTTTCTCATGTCTTTGTTGTAACCTAGGCTTATTCCTGTCACTTGCATAAGCTGATGGCAATTTAATCATTATTAAAACTCCCTCCCTCACTAGACATGAACAGAAAAAGTCACACATCCATCAATTTATGTCATTCTATTTACCTTTCTACATGTAGTTCCGTACTTTGAATTATACTATAATCAGCATGGAGATCGGCTGAAGTTCCAATTATGATAATTTGTTCCGAAAACTATACTTTTGCTCCTTGAATTAGTTTGACATGTTGCTTGTTATTTTATGTGTTAGAAGTATAAGCATAATATGACATTACTATGGCTATGCATTATGAAGTTATATTTCCTGATGTTTTTCTTTAGTTCATTATATTTTGGTTTTCAAACTGGCTTTGCTGTAGGGGTTATAGTCTTTGCGGGGAAATTGATTCTGCTGTGAAGATGTTTGAGAATTGCACAAGCTCAAGAGCACCTGCGGCTGAGTTGTATGTGGTAAGTCTATAGCTAGATTCAAATGCCTAAATGCTTTTCTTCTGCTTCCACTCAGTAGTTTGGTTCTTGATTACCTATTACTGCCGTCATCATGTTACTTTTTAATGCCTCTGAAGATGATGCTTATTATTAATGTCCGACTTAGGATGCTTCTTGAGTGCACTTGAGGCTATGTGAAGCATACAAGTTGCTTATAGATGCTTTGGAAGCATGTTTTATTGCGCCAATCCAAAAAATATGTGCAATTTTTGCGTATCATGTCAGAAGCTAGGGATATCGAAAGCGTCAAGCTGACATATGTGCCTTAAGATTAGCCTTTTAAAATCCTTAATTGGTTTTCTTATATGGGCATGGGCTTAAAAGTGCTAATTCTAATAGGCTTTAGGCCATCCCGTGAGTCCATGGATATTTAAAGGCCATCTAAAAGCATATAATCCAAGATTCATCGCTAAAGATGATGACTTTGGTTGGCTCGTATTGTCAAACACCTACGATCGGATGCTGGAGTTTAAACGGATGTTGTTGGAGATTGATGAACACTGATAAAAAATGGATATTTTTTGGAGCTCATCATACTGTTGTTGAGATAACCAGTGGATTTTGTTGATCATCATAATTCGTTGTACAAGAGAAACCAAGTCCCATATCCCCTTTAGGTGTATAATTTGATCTAGTTTGAATATAAATGGGCCTAGTGGACTTTAATGTTCAGCTTGTTAGGCTCTCTAAATATAACGCTAAACCAAGCATACAGTGAAGGCTTAAGAAAACAAACTTTAAAGTGGTTCGGTTAAACTTTCAGCAACCCTCTATGAAGCTAAGGTTTCTTATTTTTATGTTCTGTTTATGCGATCATTTCATGAGTTGGAGTAGCTAGGGTAATGACTTCATTTTATTGGTTTTCTAGAAGTTTGTATAAATACTTTGATGCATCTTGGAAGTAAAAAGAAAAAACAAATTAGAGAAGAAGAAATTGCAGGAACACGAAGATAGGTGATGTGATATAATCAAGAATTGCACGTGAAATTTATAAAGAACCACAAAGTGTGCTAATTTAAGATTAAGGTATCGTGAGGTGAGGTTCAAGAGTTTTCAATTGTCAAAATTATTATGATAAGCAATTACAAACTTGATGTTTGGGCACAATTGACGATAGATCTGGAAATTCTCACAATAAGACAAATGTGGAGTAAAATATAATCCCACGGCTAATGTTTTGAAAATTCACAATGAGTTACCTTGCTCACTCACACTCATGTAGGGCTTAGCGGAAGAAGGTCTTTAGCATACCCAACGATACCATGAGGACGGTAGCAACCCCAACGGCCGTGAGCAACGGAAAGGTTGACGGTGGCGAGGATGGTGGGAATGGTTGACTGTCGATGCTCCAATCATAGTTTGGAAGCTGGCGGTCGATGACGCTCACAAGAGTAGGTACAACTCGATCCAAATAATCTTTAACGGTGGCGTCGTCTTCAAATCCCACGTTGAAGAAGGGAGATCGTAGGATGTTGAGATTTCCGTCGGCGTCGAACACAAGTCCCCACTCAAATTCGGGATCCGCCATGCATGCTTGACATTTGAGAGAACTCCATCGAGAAGAGAGGAAATATGTGGTGGTGAGAGAGAGCACTTGTAGATTGCGAAGAAGGGAGGGGAGGAAGAGAGGGTCGGTGGGATTTCCAAGGGGAAGAGGTGAGGCCGGCGGGTGCAAGGGGAATAGGCTAGGGTTTTGAGAAGATAGGCTTAAGATTGTGGAGGAGATTAATCAAAATCTGAAATTTAATTTCAGTTTTGATTAGATTGGGAGGGAATTAACTTGAATTTTGAATTTCAAATCAAAGGGAATTAAGGCATTGATTGGGGAATTAATGGGGGAGCTAAGGAGGGGAAGGCCAGCGGTTTCAAGAGAGGAGGGGAAGGAGTTTTTAAACAAATCCTGAAATAAATTTCAGGGTTTGAAATTTTTGGAGGGAGAATTAAATGAAATCAATTTTGATTTCAAAATGGGAGGAAGAGTTACTTAGCAATTAATGAGGAGAAGCCTCATAGGGAGGCCGACGGCATGTAGAGGGGAAGAGGGAGGGATTAAGGGGAGGAACCAAGCTCTTTCCAAATAGGAACGAAAAGTTGGAGGGAAATTAATGACTCCTCCAAATAGGCCTCATTTGAATTTTGAATTTTGAAAACTTTCCATATTTGGTTCTAACAAATTTGGAAAATTTTGAACTCAAGAAATTTTGAATTCTCAAAATTCGAACAAGAGGGGAAATGGGGGAGAGGGGCCGGCGGTTGGGTGGTGGAAGAGGTGGTGGAGGAAGGGTGGCCGGCGGCCAAAGGGGAGGCCGGCGGTTGGCTCCCTTTGGTGCTAGACGGGAAGAAATAGGGGGCTCGGCTTGGGCTAACGGGATGTGGATTTGGGTAGTTGAAGATGAGGGGAAAACACAACGAAGATAGAACAACTTAACCACGAGCCGCGGACTCTTCCAACGATTGGTGGGCCTTGCGAATGCTCCCTTTGAGCTCTCTCCCTTCTCTAGCTCTCATGCAAGAAGAAGTAGAAACAAAACACAATTTTCATTCAAATATTCATTAACCTCATTACAATAGAAATGACCTATATATAGGTCCCAACATGAAAGAAAATACAAAGACTAAGTTGCCCTCAGGGCTACAACATGACTCAACTCAAACTAGGGGTACAATAGGAAGACTCCAAGAAATAAAATGCATAAACATCTAGAAATATAAACTCTGAATCGTGGCCGTCGATCTGCGCTGTCTCCGACGATACACATGCTTGAACCTCTGATCGATGTCCTCATCAATAGGAGCTGATATTTTTATTATCTCTTCAATAAGAAAGATAGATACAAGTGATCTACTATTCGAGAGGTAGATCAGCTCTCACACAAATCCTAGACGCCTCTAGGAAACTCACAACAAATCTTAAAATAAACTTCAGTAAAACATAAGTTAAAAACCTTGGATCAAACTCCCCCTTAAATAGCGCCAACACATAATACACATAATTAAAACCTTCCTAAACAGCAAAAATACAATTAGGAATCCTTCTTAAACAATCAACCAATCATAAACAACATAAATATAATTAGAAAATCTTTCTAAACAATTAAACCCTTTCTAAATAGCATAATCACAATTAGGAAACCTTCCTAAGCTCACCATTTATTAGGGATCTTCCTAAACAACTCCCATTTGTTAGAAACCTTATTAAACAATTTCCCCTTAGTAGGGACCTTCCTAAACAGTTCCCCCTTGACATATCATACTTTTGGCATTTTTTTGGTTAATAAGGACATGTTTGTATTTGTACATTAGGGATTCTTTCAATTTAAGGGCTATTTGGTTGGATGCAAAAAAGAAATACATGTAAAATAAAGCTAAATTGATTGCATTTACTTTGCAATTAAATTGTAGAGAAATTGAACTATGAAGAAAAATAAATTTTGCTTCACCGACTTTGTTTCAAACTAAGGGTCATTTTAGAGCAGCTTTTTCACTGCTTTCTTATCAGATTGTTTGCAGATCATTGACCCATTGCTAGTTGGTTAATGCTTGTTGTTGTTTTTCAAAAATTTTTATGGTGAGAATCATCTTTTAACAGTAAGATATGTTAAAGTATGGTACCTATAAGAAAGCAGTTGTTTGATTTTTTTTTTCAAAAGAAAAAAAAAATATAATACCTATAGTAGCTTTGAAAAAGCTGCTTTCCCATAGCAATACTTTTATAATTAGCTACAATTTTCCTAAGCAAACCTAATTGCAAAAGTTGCTTTTTATACCAGATTTTTATTATAAGTTGAGTTTTCCCAAACACATTATCACCTTAAAAGTTGTTTGAATTATTTCTCAATTCTTTGAATGTTTTAAAAATTTCTTATTGTCTTTTGATTTAGCCATCCATCTTCACCTTGCTTAGATTTGCATGTTGCATTCCCTCCTCGATGACCTTCACAAAGTGGTGTGATATTATGACTCTTTTGGTTTGCTCTTATGTCCCTTCCAACTTCTTAACTATTCATTGCTTCTATTATATATTTATAAATTATAACCAATCATTTTGTTGCGGTTTCAAATCCAAGCAAGAGTATTTAACTTCCGCACCCCTCACCCAAATAATTGTTGTGATCATTTGATACGCTTTGCACTTTATGCATATTTGCTAGTTTGTATTAGAGCATAGATCATTTATGCAAAAGCTTATAGCCTTTTATAAACGCAAGTTGCGTTCATTAAGGCAAGTGAATTGATAGCTAATTCTTATTTTAGTACTTTGGGTGTTTTTATTTTATTTTAGTAACAATAAAATTTTTGTGTTTATTTAAGACAAACATGCTTATGTTGTTTTCCATAAGAGTTGGTTTTACTCTTTAATTTTTTTTTTGGGAAACTTCATAATTGGCGAGTCTATTACTATGTTGACCTTTGCTAAAATGAGGGCGAAATCTCTGGGTAGTGTCTTATCTACAAACCCATCTGCCTTCCAAAATTTACCTCGGAACTTAATTCGTTAAAACTCCCTCGCCGAATAAGAAGAGCGAGCGGAGGCCGGGGCCGAATTTTCGGAGCCCACATACTATTATTTGGATGTTTATTTTAATAAAGCCTATGGATGCTTATTTTTGAAGGTTATGTTGGTTGTTGCAATCATTTGTGATATCGTTGTTTATAGTAGAGTTCTCTATCTGCTACTTAGGTGTTGGTAGTGGTACGGTGTCTTATGATCCTATTGTAGTATTCATTTTTGTTGGTAGTCTTGCCTTTGGAGTTATGTGAAGTAAGGCGGGGTTGTGGTTGTAAGGAGTAGCTTACAGTTATTGATTGATTGATTGAGTCTTGTGGCTAAAGCTTACTCTTTTGGGATTTACAAATTGTCTCAATATTTTTTGGACTATTTTAATTATAAAAAATGGGGAATTAGAAGAGTATATGTATTAGATTTTGCCTATGTTAAAAAAGGCAGTGGTAAAAAGACT